ATTCTACAAGATGTGGACGCGTATTATGTTGAGCTGAACAAAATGTGGCATGCGAAATAGGAAAAAAGGAAATCGAAGGAAAATCATTTACCAATCGACACTGTGCTGAGCGACTCGAAATGCGCTGATAACAAGGTTTTTCTGGTCCTCTGTCATAATAGCATCATCCACTTGATCATCTGGTGAGACAAGGATGTACTCAGACACGCCATACTATAACATTCTCCTATTGCAGGTTGAAAGCCAAAACAAATTTCCCGGAAAATATTCAGATTTGGCGAGGGACCGTTCATATATTGTGGAAAACCTGTTTTTGCGTAGCAGCCAAGATTCTTTGCATTGAAATTCGGATATCTGTAGCCTCCGTATTATTATTAGTATTCCCCACTTCATAATCTTATACACTGCAAACAGTAACACACTGGAACTAGCTTATAATCTCTTGATACTGGAAATTTCGAAACGGAATTAACATCTACCAAATCTCGATGATGTGTTACCATAAAAAATGTGATAGATTGAATTGAAATCAAATCTGTGAATTAATCGGATATATTCTAAGGTTTGAATCTGTAAATAAGATATATCGACACTAAGGGGATCCAAGTACTCTATTAACATATTAACAGCGTATTGGAGTTAGGTACTGGCTCATACAGAACGTTTCAAAATATTAGAATCAAATCGTTCGCAAAAGAAAAAAAAAGTTTAAAAGGGAAGCCAATAAAAGATTACCATAGTGGTTATGTTGCTGTTATGCACAAAATCGGTCTCCATATTAGACATATCAAAGCCGAATGATGCGATGTGTGCATCATTTTCACCAGAAGGAAGCTCCTCAGCGGTTTCGTTGGGCTGTAACCAGAACATTTCCAGAGTAAAATACAGTCGTATTTTTGTGGTGTGCAGAAATATAAAACGATGAAACTTTTACAAAGTAGAGAAAGTAAAATAATTCCTACCAAATCTGGATAGTAGTAAGCAACTTTCAATTTGTTTGATTCACCAAAATTGACAACTGAAGATTTTGACAACCATGAGCAAGTCCTCAGCGCTCCCTTAAGCAAAAACAATTAGAAAAGAAATGAGCACAGAAGTGATAAATGATGGCCAAAAGGGCAAATTAATGAATTACTCACTTTGGGGTACTTCTTTCGAGGCCTTGCACCAATAAGACCCCATTCCTGAACCAATGCTTCGATAGATACTCCAAAACGCTCAAGCTCCGTAATTACAGTAAAGTCATCAATTTCGAACACCTCTTCATCCTCGCCTTCTTTCTCCATTACCTAATCGATAAAGATGACGGGAAATAATTCTACAAAAACAGATACTAATATTCGCAAGAGCTTTTAATGATTGAAAGACGAGCTTTCCACTTGTCAGCTGGTTTAGTCTCGTAAATTTGTGATTGCTCCGTGATTGCACACATTCACAAAAATACTCGAATAACCGTGTATCAAGACAATTGTGGTAAGTATAACTGTCGCAGTACTTCTTGATTACTATCTCAGTACATCATTTGGTTAGTAAAACTCCATAGGAACATTCATGTGCAAATGAATAATGCCTTCCCTTACAGGAGGTTTAAAGAATTTTTTGAATATGTCTTCCTTTTCATGGTCAGATTAATGGTGCTGACTATTCTTGAAGGAGCAGTATGGAATAAAAATGAAGAGTGATCATAAAATTACTTCATCCTTATTTAAAGAGGATAATGAAAGACCTACGAAAAGACGGAACTGAAGAGATAATATGTTAGCTCCCCACTTAACAACAACCCTGATTCTCATTCCCCCAGCCTTGCCTATAGTCGATGATACAGAGATTGATGACAGTGATAAAGCCCTTCAGAATGCAAAGTCTGGGCCACATGCCTACCTCAAAGATGCTATACGACCGAGCAAAGCCACATGTCACCCACTATGTAATAGAGTTTAGTATGAAGAGATGGTGTTTAACCCCAGACTGTAGGGTTTTGCCGCCTTCATTTGCATATGAGGTGGTAGCAGTCTTCATACTAAACTCCATTATCCTATATTGTACTAGCTGGCATGCCTGGCTTTGCTTGGTTGTATGACATCTCTGCGGTAGATCTACACCTTACTTTGTATTTTG